GGAACCCAGCAGCAAGCTAACCTACCAGTTGGAGCATCTGCCCTCTGGTGGTCAATGCATGTCATAGTGAGTGGTAGAGCGGCCTTAGCATATCAGCATACTATGCTTTGATTGTTTAAACCGAAGACCGGATGAGTGGACACTTAGCATATTAGGCTTTTATTATATAGGATTTTTTGCAACTAGAGTGGTAGGACTCTCACCTTATCTAGGTAAATCAAAACATGGTTGTTGCTGACTTCTGTTCGGCTCACATCATCAGATCTTTCAAGCTGAAGAACATGAAGACATTGCAAATGTTAATAAACAGAAGAAAGCCCCTGGGAAACCCAGAGAAAAGAAGAATTTTTATTACCAAATTATATTAAGCCTGAGGATAATATTTCTTCTAATATTTTTTGTAAGTAAAGACAATAATGTTGTACAATTAAAAATAAAAGTTAATTGGGATGTAGGGTTTAATATGGCCTATGTGTAAAGCTGATTTATCTGAAGAAAAGGAACTAAATATTCTAAACTTGGGAATTGCATATATTTCAAGGTTGAATTCACATTCTATTTTTTAATCAGGAGGTGATTTTGTTTTTGTTACTTCTTTTGCTTGCTCTAATTTATAGCAATCTCATTTTGTCTGACCTTCTGTAATAGTTATAGTTTATGTCAATCTGTCATTTTCATATATTTTTCACTCGTTTATATGTAGATACTTTACCTTCAAGATTCTGAGCTACATGAAAGTAGGAACCTGTTGACATTATTTTTCTAGTAGGTGTGGCTTCCAACAGTGTGTTATGCTCATGGAGGCAGCAATACAAACATGATACATTACATTTTTAAGTTTGGAGAAAGTATCAGTCTTTCATAGAGGTTGATTTAATAGGGTTATAATATATTGTCTTAGTCTAAAGAAATATAAAATAATAAATAAAATAGAGACTCCTACCATTTTCACAGTTGGTTTCAGGGGAATGAAGCCAGATACCATCTTCACGTCAACAATCGCCATGTTGGAGGCAGGACGGTTCCCGGTGTAACTGAAGATCCAGGGAAGGAAGGAATTGGGGTTTTCTTTGTTATTAAATAGTCTTTTTTTTTCTATTTCCACAGTAAGCACTCAACAGCCCTAAAAGGTTCATGGGAGTCTTCCTAAGTGTCCTACTCAAGTGGTTCAGAAAACTGGCTCTGCATTAGATTTTTAGGGAGCCTGTTAAAGCCACAGAGATCAGGCCTACTTCTAGACATGATGAATCAGAATTCCACATGTGTGGACTCTGAGGATGTGTGTTTTCAGAAAGCTCTACAAGTGATGCATAGCTGGACTTGAGACCTCTAACCTGTGTCAGTTATTTGTTACATATACTTTATCTTAACTTTTTTCCTTAATTAGTATCTCCAACCAGGTTTTAATATTCTTGGGTCAGGACACATTTTCTTTTTGTCCATTGAGGCATTTTATTTGCACATATGTATGATATTCTCAGAAAAATATTCCCAGGATTTTCCCTCCTTTGTGTTTTTAACTTGCTTCTTCATGGTCCATGATGCCCGCTGAGGTTGTCAGTACAATAAAACCAATTGATGGGATGTAAGCAGGTTTTCCTGCCATTTTTCTAGATCTTTGAGTTGCATATCAAATCTGGGGCCGATTACTCCACACTTGTTTAACCTGCCTGTGAGGTTCATGATAATTTTCCCAGCTCTGTAGTCATCAGTAATTTTAAATTTGCCAATGAAACCATGTTGCATCATCACAGTTAGGAACTGGAGCATGACTTTGGAGCATGGCCTACTAAGAACGTAGCATTTGCCTCTCTTTTCAGCATTGTTGATACTCCTGAGAGCATCGGCCAGGACATTCATGTGCACCCTGATGATGGCACAGAAGGACGGCAGGAAGAGTGACAGATACATTTTTTATAAGCCCTGTAGCTATTTGAATATTGTGTGTGTATGTATCTCTATATCTACATATCTATACATCTGTATACCTATATATCTCCATATATGTATTTTCCCCCAAACTGATTTTTTGGTATGTAATCTGAGATTTAATTATTGCCAGTAGAAATTTTAACTAGAGAGGCATGATTTCCTTCTATTCATGCTTTTCAAGAATGCCTCATCTCACCTCTTCTCCCTGGCTACTTGAAGATTGCTGCCATCATGAACGACACAGTAACTACTCAGACCAGGAAGTTCATGACCAACAGACTACTGTGGAAACAAATGGTCATTGACATCCTTTACCCTGGGAAGGCAGCAGTACCTCAGACAGAATTTCGGGAAAAACTAGCCAAACTGTATTAGACCACATCATCTTTGTGTTTGGATTCAGAACCCATTTTGGTGGTGGCAAGACAACTGGTTTTGGCAGGATGTATGGTTCTTGGATTATGCAAAGAAAAATGAACCCAAATATAGACTTGTAAGACATGGCCTGTATGAGAAGAAAAGACCTTAAAAAACCCCACCCAAAAACAAAAAAACAAGGAAAGGAATGCAAGATGTTAGTGCTGGCAAAAGTGAACTGGAGATGGGACAGCAGAAGGAGTAAAGATTCTTCAGTGACTTTATTTGTGGTGACTGTGCAGATTTTAATGAAGAGATTAATAAGCTCAAAACTTAAAAAATAAAAAAATAATTCCTCATGTCTTTTCTGGATAGGGCAAGAATAATATAGGATTTCACTACTGTAGAATAAAATTAGGTTGAATCATATTATAATGAAATGAGAAATTCAGGTCAGAAGCAAGGGATAATGATCTACCTTTACTTATTATTGAGGGAAATTAATAACCTTTAAATAATGAGATGTGACAATAATAGTTTCTGGAAGTAGAGGAAGTACAATGTAAACCTCATCACTGAGAAATTCTGTATCAACATAAGAACATATTACTTTTTTGGTAAATGTAGTACAAACATTCACCATCCCAGTGCTTGGCTTAATGAGGAGTTCCAGTAAGAAGATTGGTTGTTATACACAGAATTAAGTGATTCAGTCAGAAAGTCTTACCTGACATTCAGTGAGACCTGGAAGGTGGTGTGGGCTTTGGGTCCTTCACAAGTTTGGGGCAGAGTCTGTACCCCCAAAGCAAATGGGAACTCTTCTTTTTTGGGGAAAATATTATATTTCAAGGATGTCTGTGGAACATCAAAGACAAATATTTGTGTTTTCCCCTTTCCCATTATTTCTCCCAACTTTCTCAACACTTTTTGATTTGTTCCATCATTTCCTGAATTAGGACTTTTCAGGGAGAATGGTTACTAGGGACCCTCTGTCCTCATCTGCTCCAAGAGTCTCACCTGGAGGTAGACACACCCTTTTCCTGTTGCTGTCATGCTGTAATCTCCAGGCACCTTTGGCAATGAAATCTGCTGCAGTAGCAAGCGGTTGTCGTTGTCCACTTGGAAATTTGTGGAAAATGTCCCTGAAGATTGAATGGTCACCTGTACAGCCTTCCCAGTCCTGGTGAAAGTAGCTGCTCCATATCTGGACAAAGCATGGAGAGCCACCACTGTGTCCTGAGAGAGACAAGTGAGAGAACCTCTTAGGTATGATAACCCTTTGAGGACTCAGAAGCCCGAGTTAACTGCCACAAAAGGGCCTTTGATTTCCTATTTCCCTTACTACTTAAACACTGGAGTTCTAATTTCATTACTTGTTAGAATCCTTAAATAGATGACAGCACCATAGTATTCACATAGCTTCCATGGACTATATGCCCTAAATTTTATTTTATTTCTCATAAAATTGATCCTTTTCTTTCTATAAATATACGTGGGATATAAAATGTAGAAAATATACACATAAATTGGAATCATTTATTGGCATTAGCTATTTGCCTAAAATTTTTTTTTGTGAATAATATTTTTTATTCATCAAATAGCTTTTTCTGGTCAGAAATATTATAAAGCTTAGTCATAACTATGCATTTTTCTTTTGTATTATTCTTTTTTTATTGTTTAAAGTATTACATATGTTTCCTTTTTCCCCCATACACCCCTCCCTGGTCACGCCCACCCGCCAGCACTTCCCCCCCAGCATCTGTGTCCATTAGTTATGCTTATATGCATGCATACAAGTCCTTTGGTTCATCTCTTACCCAACCTTCACACCCTCCCCTGCCTTCCCTCTGAGGTTTGACTGTCTGTTCGATGCTTTTCTGTCTCTGGATCTATTTTTGTTCATCAGTTCATGTTGTTCACTATATTCCATAAATGCATGAGATCATGTGATATTGGGTTATTCTTAAGTATTAATTACTGTACACATGAAAAGTATAGATTATATATATACAAGAGGCCCGGTGCACGAAATTCATGCACTGGAGGCG